CTTGTGGTGAGAACTAACGGTGGGATTTCCATTAACATTGGCAATCTCTCACTCTTTAGGGATAAGTTGGGGTTTTAGGCTTCTTTATGGGTAGAGCACGAGTTTTGAGGGGGATCTCATTATCCACTGTAGAGAAGGACGGGGCTATGATACTGTTGGACGGTTATTTTTATCCCTTCATTTGTTTTTGTGGGTTTTCTCTTCTGTATTTGTTTGGAGAATTTATTGTCTTCTTCCCTTGTGCCTTCTATTATTTGAGTACAATTTGCTCTTATAGAAAAACATAAAACTCAATTGTGTACTGTTGGAGCATGTACTGTTGGAAAAAGATTGAAATGTCTATCATATAAACTGAGATGCTTAAAATTACATCATTTTCTAGGTAATTGAATTTGTTCAATTCAAAGAGCGATTGCAGCACTCTAATCAGTATTTGGTGGCAAGAGTTGAAACACCCATTCTACAGCTAAAGCAGAATACAGAAAACATTGAAGAAGAAGAGGTAATTTATCTATTGACTCTATACTAGTAAATACTTTATTTTTCAACTTCTAACAAAATGGAATAATTAATGTAAATATATCTTCTTCTAGCGTGTTCTTGAAAACTTGAAATGCGGAATCCATTTTGTTGAGCTCTCAAATGAAATTGGATCCAAATCGCTGACTTTCAATGAAGATTTACAGTTGCTACCTTGGTGGAAACCAACTCCAGAGAAAAATTCTCTGTTGGGTCAGTATCATATGTACCTTGTTTCAACATGTAGTTATCCTTCTGAGTTATGGAGAGTTTTTGGGGTGTGGAACAGGATGCTTTAACATAATTTTTCTTTAGTTAATATTTCATCATCGTTTAATACAGACGAAATTTTTTATATATGATAAAAAATTATAAAAATCTTCAACTCTATACTTTTTGGTATTTGATTGAGTTTACTGGATGTCTTGGAAAATAATCTTCTGATCATTCCTTTGGTGATATCTGTATTAACTCTTTCAGGTCCATTTGAGGGACTCTCCTATTATCCGAAAGAAGACTTGGTATTGAACTTCTTTCCTTCACATCTTTCAATTATTGATTTTGAGTAGAACTTGTTATTTTTATGGATTTCGTCAATTCATTAAAGTTCTTCCATTGTCTCATTAGTTCATGTAACCTGAATTTTCTTCTAATGACAAATTTTATTTTATTTTTTGGGCAACCTGGTGATCGCTTTTAGACAAGGGAAAGAGAATCAAATGTTAGAAGAACCATTGGAAGGAGATCCCTCATTCCCCGAATGATATATCTGTCGATTCAGTGTGCATCAGCATCATTCAAAGAAACTCTTGAAGTAAATGGTTCTATTCTTGATCCTAAAATCTCCACAGAGTTGAAACTTTTACTAGAGCACTATGCAGAAATGTTGGGATTTTCTTTTAGTAATGCTATAGAACTGGTTGTGGAGGCTTCTTGTGGCAAAAAACCATCTGAGGTATGATTTGCCTCTAATCTCATTTCTATTCATATCGTGTAAGGACTTGTATCCTGTAACAAGCATCAGATGCTCATATGTTACGGTAACACCCCGGGGGAGCTACCATTAGGACATGTCTTTTATGTATGCCTGTATGTTCAAACAAATTTGAGCGGAAATGGGTTCTTAACTTCTGCAACTGGAATTTGCATGTCGGCAAAGTCTGATGCACTATTTTTAACTTTTAAAGTTACGATAACTGTTTGTTCGCTAACGTAAGATGCTTTTAATTGGAGTATTTATCTTGCTATAAATCTTTGATATAACGGGTGAAAATATGTGACGCAGGCTTGCAGTTCCGATGTGATTGACTGGATAAACTTTGCTGTGTTTTTAAATGCGTGGAACTTGAACTCCCATGAGCTCATGCAACAAGATGGAGAGAAAAAGGGCCATGGTACTTGGCATGTTGTAAATTCACTTCTTGAGAAGTCTATTTTGGATAAAGTCGGATCAATGGAATCTCCAACCAGCTCTCCTCAGGGTGAGCTTCCTATCTTGGTGCAACTGGTTACTGAACCATTGGCTTGGCACATTCTTGTAATCCAGGCATGTATCCGGGCATCTCTTCCCTCTGGCAAGAGGAAGAAAAAAAGTGGACATACAGAGCAATCTTTCACCCCAATGTCCCTTGTAATTCGGGATTCTTTGCAGTCTCTATGTGGCATAACAGAGGAGGTTGCAAAATGGTTAGGAAATCAGGTCAACGTGCCTGAGGATGACAGTGCGGAAGCTATTCTCTCCTCCTTTCAGCGAGAAGGACAGGAGGGAGGACGTGGGCAGGTTTTCCAGGTTCTGCAGATTTTGGTCGCATCAATAGATGAAGCAGAACTTGGTAATCAAATTTCCCAAGCATTGAGATCCTGGAGCCCAGCTGATGTTGCTAGAAAAATAGTGACCAGTCAACATAGTGTCCTGTCTGAATTTCTTAAAACTTGCGAATCCAAGATAAAGTCTCTCAAGGCGTTGAAACAACAGATAGCTCATGTCTGAAAGGAGAGATGGGTAGGTGGACTAATCTGTTGTAAAGCTCCAGGGAAGAGTTTGTTTTGTTCCTTACGGCTTTCCTGTTTAGTCACCTTTATCTGGGGATTTTCATACCAGATGTAAGTGTGAGCTATGCCTTTTCATGTTGATTGCCATATATTGAGCAATTTTGGCATCGTTTTCTACAACTTTTTTTTTTTTTTTTTTGTGTTTAGTGTACACTACCATTCTTTGAGGTTCATGTTTCAAATTCTTTCTGGCGTGTAAAACTGTATCTTTGGTCATAGAATTTGAGAATGTATAATCACTCTTATGGTTAGTTTACAGTGTAAATTGGTTAGCATAGTCATACTCTCTGGTGTCTCAAGATACCATAACATTTAGGTATATGGTAATTGTAAGACTTGGTGAATTTGGGAAGAGAAGGCTCAGACTGTTTCTTCATTTGTAGCAAGACTTTTGATTGCAGTGTTTAAAGTTTTTCGTTAGTCTAATTATTTTATAATTTAATATTAATGTTATGTCTGAAATAAATTTAAAAATATTATAAAATTTATTTGTAAATATATAATAAGTATGAAATATAAGATTTAAATTCAAGAAAATAAAAATTGATTTTAAATAAATTGCATGCGAAAATATAAACAAATGTATATTAGGTATTATCAAAACACATAATCAAAAACCTTACCGCTATTTATGGGGATAGTTTTATGTGATTATTGAGATCAGTTACATATATTTGAATTAATGATTAAATGATCAAGATTGTGGGCAGGTGGATATAATATGGTACAAAGTTCTCATGTAAATTGTAATGGACTCCCTTTGTTTTTTTCCAAAGTAATATTATTGTTTAATCCCACACACTGTCCGTGAAGCTCTAGATAGAGAGTACGTCGCCAACTGAGCTACAAATCTTTGCCTTGGATAAGTTAGTTGGCTGCCTACCTAATCTGATTTATGATTCTTATGGGTATCTTTTGACTGCGTTATAAAATTTACCCCCCCCTATAAATCTGAGACTGCTTCCGATCACATTCTATAGTTTTAGGCCCAATGAAATGAACTATGAGTTTAGTTTATATGTATATTCCCTATGTGTATATCTATCTATAAATGTGTAGAGGGTAGACGTGTCAGACCCGCTTAATTTCAAATACCACAGATATATATTATACCTATTAAAGAAGAAATCTACTCAGTATTTCCATGTTAGTGCCCTAATTGATGTTTACATTGAAACTAATAATGTTGACAAACAATTACTCGCTATTATGGCGAGAAGGTTTGTACATTTATTACCTCTTTCTTTAACAAATTCAAACTGCTGCATCATGGGAGATACCCGTAGGCCATAGTATTCTAATTTTTTCTCTTTTCAAAAGAAAAGACTCTTCTAAGTACATTAAAAATAAGATGATGCATCAGAACTCATACTTTTCTGGCTTTCCTAATTCTTATGTATAACTTTTAAGATATACACTTAGAGATGGTTGAAGTTCTATTTAGTTTCATTACATATCATAGTTTATACAAATTGCATCACTTAAGTAAAGAAATTAAAATAATTAATATAATCAACGATAACCGATTTTCAGACATGTTGCACTAATTGATATTGATTAAAATTTCACCAAATATAAATAAAAAATGAAATATTTTCTGTCAGGATTTTAACTTATACAGGATAAAAGTGATCACCTTTTATAAACATGGAATCTTTTTCTTTCAATTGTAAGAAATGTTAAGCCAAAAATGAAACAATGAAAGGAGATTTTTGTTTGTGAAAGTGGGCAACAAGTTTGAAAAGGAGAAAATGCTTTGAAAAGTAGAAGCTGAGATTACTCTGTTTTCTGCAGATAATTTTGGAAGTGAAGACTTTTGTAAGAAAACAAGGAGCCGAAAAGAAGAAAAGAAATTAAAACACAAAGTAGTAAGTGATTAAGTGGGATGATTGTCAAATGTCAAGCTTCTTAACGATATAAGATTTATATGTATGACATTACCATATTACATACTAATATCTATATGTGTATGTATATATATATATATATGTATGCGCTTTTATTTTTGTTTTCTGGACTCATATTTATTTATACATATAAACATGTAATATAAAGTAGAATAATAGAAAATCAAATACGACGTACCATATACTAAATATAAATATAAATATATAAATTTAAGAGTCTTTAATTGGTGAATATTATATAATAATAATAAAAACATGATCTCCTTCGATTACCGAACACAAACTAGAATTCAACCTCCACTCCAACTATCCTATGACTCTTTCGAGTATTTTTTATTTATAATCCTTCCACCCAAAGATGATTCGTCCACATACCTTAACAGACACGTTAATTGTTGAGCTAACAATTCATCATCTCTTGTTCCCATTTTGTCTATTATTACGAGGATACCCTTTTCTGTATATATACATACATATATATAAAACTTAAACCTTAAACTTTTAATTCTCATAAGTTTATAATATATACATAAAAATAAAAAATAAAAAACAAACTTAATTCCAAGATGTTTAGAGTTATGTGTTTAAAACCCATAATTTAATTTGGGCTTAAACCTGTTTCTTAGTGTGAGTACAAATTCATTATTTTCAACACAGCTTTATTAATGCCAACAAACAATGCACCATTGAAATGTTTATTAAATGCTCTCCCTCTTTTATTGACCAATTGAGTCATCCTATTGAACACAATTAAACAAAATTAAACCTTAAACTCAACCTATAAATCTATTATACATTTTGACAAAATCACCACACCTTAAAATATTTGTCAAGTAATTATTAGATTTTATAGCACTAAGCATGCATATTGAATTTTAAAACGAAGAAACAAAGGCAATTACAACTGCCCAAACATGAAAAAGTTTGTAAGTAGGGAATCTCCATTTTTGTTTTTAACAATTCACGGGGCTAGTGGTTGCACCAAAACCAAATCCTCTACATGTTATTGCTACATTAAATTTTTCATTAATTCTTTGCATCTCTCTTCACTCAACCTAATTTCTAAAAATATATTTTTCTCAAATGATAAAAAATTAACAAAAACAATAAGAAATAATACTAGTAGTTAATAGAAAAATTCCAATGTTTTTGGTAAAACAAAAAAGACTTCTTCCCCTGCTCTACCTCCTATATAAATAGCTGATCTTGCTTGCTACCAGAGGCATACTAAAGAGTTCAAAAGGGACCAAATATGGAGTCTCACAATTTCAGTGTCAACTCAGTCTTCTCTTGCTTATTCTTTGCTATTTTGTTCTCCTTCGGCTCCCTTGCTTCTTTTGCTGTTGCAGAAACTCACTACCATGAGTTTGTTGTATGTCTTCTTCTTCTTCTTCTTCTTCTTCTTCTTCTTCTTCAGTTTCTTGTCTTGCTGTGTTCTTCTTCAATGGAGCTTTATGTTATCTTCTGACTTTGTTCTCGTTTGTTTGCATTGAACTAGATTGAAGAAAGGCCAGTGAAGAGGCTGTGCAAAACCCATGGCAGAATCACAGTGAATGGACAATTCCCAGGTCCAACATTGGAAGTCAGAGATGGTGACTCCTTAGTCATCACAGCTATAAACAAAGCTCAGTATAATGTCACCCTACACTGGTAAAATATTGTGTACAGAATAAACATATTAATCTTTGTTTTGATGGAAAATTCTAGGACGTTTTCGTATATAAGATGAAAATTACTGTACCTTTATAGTGTCACCCTACACTGGTAAAGTATTGTGCACGGAATAAGCATATTATTCTTTGTTTTGATGGAAAATTCTAGGATGCTTTCGTATATAAGATGAAAATTATTGTACCTTGGTGATCAGGCATGGAATTAGACAGCTGAGAAATCCATGGGCGGATGGACCTGAATACATAACACAGTGCCCTATTCTACCAGGAAGGAGCTATACATACAGGTTCACCATCATAAACCAGGAAGGTACTTTGTGGTGGCATGCTCATAGCAAATGGCTTAGAGCCACTGTCTATGGAGCTCTCATCATCTACCCTAAGTTGGGCTCTCCCTACCCTTTCCCCATGCCCAGACGAGAAATTCCCATTCTTCTTGGTAACATTCTTGATGATCTTTAAGGACACTAATAACCTAAAGTGCCACTCGAAGAAAACTAATGATATCATTGCAATGATACAGGAGAATGGTGGGACAGAAACCCTATGGACGTTCTCAGGCAGGCCATTTTCACCGGAGCTGCCCCAAATGTCTCTGATGCTTATACCATCAACGGTCAACCTGGTGATTTTTACAGATGCTCCAAGCAAGGTTTGCCACCACTGAGAATTTTGTTTTCTCCGAGCAATGAACATTTCTTTTTTCCATCTATAAGATGTCATCTGGTATGGCTAATGGGTTATGAATCTGAACGCAGAGACTGCGGTGTTTCCAGTACAATCAGGAGAGACAATTCTGTTGAGAATCATTAATGCTGCAATGAACCAGGAGCTCTTCTTCAGTGTAGCAAATCACAAACTCACCGTTGTTGCTGTTGATGCTGCCTACACCAAGCCCTTCACCACCAATGTCATCATGATAGCTCCAGGCCAGACAACAAATGTCCTGCTCACTGCAGATCAGCCGCCAGCTCGTTACTACATGGCTGCACATGCCTATAACACAGCCAATGCAGCCTTTGACAACACCACCACCACTGCAATTCTTGAATACAAATCTGCTCCCTGCAATGCCAAGAAAGGAAAGTCTTCATCCTCTACACCAGTCTTTGCTCAGCTTCCAGGATTCAATGACACTGCCACTGCAACTGCATTCACTTCCAGTTTAAGAAGTCCTCACAAGGTTCATGTTCCCATTACAATTGAT